CCTAGGACTTGTCCACCAAGTTTAGTGCTATTTGCTAGCTTGCAGCTTCTTGTCGGAAGTAAAATGAATAATGGTAAGCTTGGAGCAAAGTAAAAAACTTTCAACTCCGCTGGAAGGATTAATGTTATTTCTTTATACTAAGAAATAAGAAAATAGCAATTTGTGTAAGTTGGTCCTAGAAACGTGAACTTGGCGTATCCGTTAACGTGCAGTTCATCTGTCCACGTGTAAACTACAGATTATTAAGGTGTTTACGAAGGAAGGTCTACGGGTAATAAAATGAGAGATGTTGCAGCGATAAATTATCATAAATTTCTTTCTTGATTTAATGTCATCTCACTGTAGTCATCTTTAAACGAACTCGCCTTTCGCAATTATTATTTACCAATGAAGACAGCGTTCCAGAGTAGTCAGAGTGTTGGAGTCTCCATCCGGCCCAGTCCCAGAGCCCGAGTCCCGGCCGCTCTGCCTCACAAGCTGGTCTCACAAGTCCCAAGTTCACGTCAGCTATATCGCGAATACTTGTATATGGTCCGCTGAATAGTCGCCTGGGGTTTTCAAACCATATATTGTTCGATATATACATTATTTGGAGTGACTGTGAGCTAGCCAGAGCATCTAAGCACACTTGTTTTCCACATTGTATGAAACTTTTCCGTTCACCTCGTGACTCGACACTCACGCGTAGTCTTACTTAACCCGAGATTAGTATGCACATTCTTCACTCATTAGGCTTCTTTTCTCCTTGTTCATTAGAAGAATCTTAGGCTTTTCCTTTTTGCACGTTCTTCACACAGGAGCTAAACACACTGGATCTTAACAGTTATCTCAGAGTAATCATTAAATGAAAGTGAATTAAAGTTTTAGTTAGAAAAACGCACCTTCTATCGGTTAACATAAATTTTCTTTAAATTTACAACAGTCAGTCGACTCCTGATAATTTGAACCTTCAAGGGAAATAGAAGAAAGTTCGAGTTGTCAGGAGTTCGAGTTATCGAGGGTAAAGTTATATAGAAAACGATCTGATGGGAAATGAAAATTGCTTCAAGTTAGCGGGAGTCGACTGTACCTTTTAATAAACGAAAAATAGGTTTTTAGTCGAATCAAATGATTACAAAAAATACGTGAGATGAATTATAAGAATTATGAAATGACTCGAGACACGGCCGGAAAGAAGTTTTGCTTGAACTGTCGCCCATCGTATACAATACCGGCCTTTTGAAATACTTGGTCACATGATCAATTTTCTGTGAACACGAAAACAATTATTTTGGGAAAAATCACTTTAGCAGGAATTGAAAGAGCATTTAAAATCTAAATTATTTACTGTATAATCTCCCACACGTGAGGTGAAGATACAGGAAAATTAGGTCTCCTATGAATTTCCAGCCGTATATCTCAAAAGCGATGGCAAAGGCCGCCTAAACATGATTATAAAGTCATGTATGGAAAAAACAACTCTTGCCACCCAGTCAGGGTTGAGTGGTATTCCATAACAATCCTGCAATTGGAAATTTTGGAATTTTGAACTGTTGTTAAATCCTTCCCTCACGCATTACGGGGCTCAATTTTGCTACTTTTCGTAAGATAGTTTTTTCTCCGTAAACAAATCCTTGTCATTTTCGGTGATCTATGCAATCGCTTCTTTTGAGACGTGCAGCTGAAAGTTTTCATTTCCTGCCGTAAGGATCAGTTTAATGTTTTGATTTTTAAATTTTGGATTGAAGATTTTCCTGATCCAGGTTGATCACGTGACCACCTATTGCAATACTGACATACCGTAAAATTCCGGTAAAAATCTCTGGGCTTATGCAACTTCGTAAGGGGTTTTGGGAGGGCTTATAAACGGAGGGGCTTATATCTGGGGGGCTTACAAGCGGAATTTTAAAAAAAGTTTCGAAATGAGCCACAGCAGTGTTGATAGATATAAAATTTTTTTAATTTACTAATTTTTAATTAATCTTTCAGGCCTCGTAATAAATCGAATGCATTTCAATTTTAGGAACAAAATCAAAAGTTAACAACATGAACATTACTAGACTGCGAGCAGTCTCTTATTTTTCTTTGCAAAATTACTGTACGCAAAACCTGAGCACGCAAGCGGCGAAGCGCCGAGAGAAACGATGGCGTAAGCCCGAGAAGATCCCAATATAATAACATCGTGGTTTGCAATCGCACTGGATGAGATCAAGAACTGGACGGATTTTAAGAGAAAAGGTGGACTGCAAGCAGTCTAGAAAATAACCAACGCTACAAACTGGAAGCTCAGAGTTCATCTTTGCTGTAGTACAGGGTTCTGCGAGAGTACTTAATATTGAGAAACAAGGAAAACTAGAGGGGGGCTAATATCCGGGGGGCGCTTATAACTGGATGAAAACTAGAGGGGCGTTAATATCCGGGGGGGCTTAAATACATACATACATGCATGCATACATACATGTTTTTTTATTTGGAGTCTTATACAATAAATAGTATATCAACTATTTCCAAATAACTAAAATTAACAAAAACTCCTAACCGTATATGGCTAATAAGTTATTAATTAATTAAGTCCGAGAGTATTTACTTTTTGCCGTCTTCCCCTTTCCTTTTTTTCAAAGCATTCGAATACATGTTTTGCCGTTAGTTTTTGTATTTTAGCATTTCCGCTAGGGGGTTTATTAGAAACATGAATTATAACCGGATGAAAGCTAGAGGGGGCTAATATCCGGGGGGGCTTACAACCAGATGAAAACTAGAGGGGGGCTTATAACCGGATGAAAACTAGAGGGGGGCTTATTACCGGATGAAAACTAGAGGGGGCTAATATCCGGAGGGCTTATAACTGGATGAAAACTAGAAGGGGGCTAATATCCGGGGGGGCTTATAACGGGATGAAAACTAGAGGGGGGCTTATAACTGGATAAAAACTAGAGGGGGACTTATAACCGGATGAAAACTAGAGAGGGGCTAATATCCGGGGGGCTAACAACCGGATGAAAACTAGAGATCCGGCGGGGGCTTATAACCGGATGAATTTTTTTGTTTCCAAGTAGATTATAACGAACCAGGGGGGTGGTCATAACTGGAATTTTACGGTAGCTATCTGAGCTATTTTGAGCTCAGGTCACGTAGGTTTGTTCTCGGTTTCTCTTCGGTCCACTGCAGTGAGAGGTGACTGGAAGTAGACTCGTAAGTTACATAAGCTATTTTATGAGCTATTTCCAAGTTGCCTTGATCCTGTTTTTTAGAACGAGTGCAAATGCCAAGACTTTGATTTTAAAAGTAATTCATTTAGTCGAGATTGAAATGAAACTCATTGTCATGTGAGATGTTTTGCACTTGGCCTTGGTATGAAAGTCAGGGTTTTGGAAACCCCAAAATACTACTTTTACTAAACCATGTAAGTGGATCATTTCATCACATATCATCAGCTCGGTTAAAACTCTGTGAAAAATTTTTTAAAAGACAAAGTTTCGAAGTGACAATGGTGGATTATCTTGTTTATTCTGGTGTTTGTTGTAATATTTACAGGTAGTAGCATGATTTGTAGAGATATTTGGCATAAATACCACAATTGATATTTCAAAATTTACACATAATTTCACAAGTCGTTAGGCGAGTGAAATTTGAGACATTTTGAAATATCGCGAGTGGTATTTATAAAGTTATTATTATTATGCCAAATATCACGTACAAATCATGTTATTATTTGTTTTTACTACTACCAGCAAAGGTTTTGTAATTTTCACAATTAAGGTGAAATACCAGTGCTCTAAGCCAATCAAATTGCAGAAATTTCTCATGTAGTAGTATGCTGTTTTAAATTTAAGAGAATACATTGTTTGTCTTCTTATTACGGTCCTTTGAAAAGAATTAAACTTCACTTACCTTTCAATGGTGTTTCTGGCTGTTGTGCGTGTTGTGGTTGTCGTTGTTTTGGATCAAGTATGAAGCTCTTATTTTACTATCTTGTTCAACTCGTCAATGTGTCACACGTAGTCTCCGGCTGTCTGCGGAAAGTGGTATGACAGATTTTATCTATTGGGGAACAAGAATGGCGGTGATCTTAATAGGTGCCTTGTTATTTATATATGAAGCTCACTTATTGTGTACTGTGCTCATCTAGTTCAGGAGAAAGTTTAAAACGGTTTGCGCGGGAATAAAGTTTTCGAGTGTGGTTCTTTGTAGACAATAGCTGTCTGAGTCTGAAGCGAAGTATAGAGAAACCAGTTTAAAAGTAATGGATTTGAGCTCATAAATTATTACTAAGTGAAACCCCTCGAACTTAAAAGTATCGGAACCGAAAGTGTTTTGGATTGGTTCTTTTTTTCCTTTTTTTGCCAAATATTTTTTAATACGCTTTCGTTTCGCTGCGGGGATTAAAATATCACAGTGAAAGCTTCCGCTCTTTCTAAGTAAATATTTGCTATAAAATGTATTGTGAAATTCATGTTTCTGTACTTAGTTTAGACTATGGTCATAGTTGGCAATTAATATTCAACGTCACCTGTTGAGAACTAAAATTAGCCGCTTTTTCGGTGTAAATTTCAGGAAACTTAAAGTAAAATGTTTCTCTTTTTTTAATTTTAGAGTAATACGCTTACGTGTGTTTGATTTGCCAAATCCTAGTATTAACGTTTTGTGCGAGACGTTCGCCTTCTGATGAATAGTCGTCTCCGCTTAATTCTCCTTTAGAAACAGAGGTAAAGTTTGGATAAAAATTTCCTCCCGGATTAGTGTCTTGAGTACATAGAACAAATACCAAAAGCGTACAAATAAAGTTTCTACTTTATTATTCGGAAATATCTCAAGCATTTTGAGATTAATTTTGTTAATTCTTCTTTTATGCCAGTGCCATCAAGACGATAAAGTATTATTATTTTTTTCTTACAAAGTTGAAATATTTACACGCTCTTTTCGAATGTTAATTACGAGAAGTATCACGTCTACTCCTGGATGCTTTCCGGTAGTCTGAAAATTTTCCCATCAATGTCCATTTTAAAAGCAGGTTTACATGGCCCATAAAGTTCGAATAGCTCATCCCAATACTTGTTAAAGTCGACATCTTCTGCTTGTATTTCATGTATTTCATTATCGCAGTTAAATCGCGGAAACCTCTCCCCGATGCGAGCAAATCTTTCTTGTAGTTTATGTGCGAGTTCGCAGTCGCAAAGCGTACTAAGTGTATTGTTCTTTAAATTGCGGGCCTTTATCTTCAGTTTCTTCATCAACGACTGGGTATTCTTGCTTTCGGCGTGTGGAGTAAAATACGAAATTTCCTCTAGGTTCAGGGCCCAGTGTACCTTTTTGTTCTGGCCGAGCTGCATTTTATCGCGTGTAGAAACTGTTTTAGACTCTGTTTCCATCGTTGACTGAGGGCTAGGTTTTGGCGATGTATATGTCCACCAGACAGAATGGCAATCGAAATTGGAACTTCAGTCTCAAGCCCAGCTAGCCGACAATGATGGCCTTTTATTAGGAAAAAACAATTAAGTCTATCAAGCTAACTGGCTGCTAAAACGTGAACTCACCTTAACCTTTGGTTTGTCAACGTGAAGAATGTGTCTGCTTTAGACTGGTGGTCATCAACTTTATCATGCCTTGGGAAAGAAAGCCTAAGACAAGCAATTGAATTCTCTCTGAATTTTATGAATTATTCTGGTTATGATGATGTTTTTTTGGGGTCTTTACATCCTTGCCCGCCTTCCTTTTGCCAAAGAAGTCACGCGTTGTTGATTTTCGCCGTTTTAAAATCTCGTGAATCACACCGCTGATCGGAAGACAAGAAAGTTTAAATCACCTGTAACTCTTTCATTAATGGTCACTTTAGCGAACACTGCAGGGAGTGTCCGTATATAACTCTCTAAATATGCATTCGTTTGCTCAAAATAACCGAGGACTTGTAAACAAATGTAGGGTCCATTTGTTATTTCCCTTTATAGTTAGTGAAAGTAGGCACTTGTTATTAAAAATATTGGCAGGAAAGCTGCATAAAGTTGTAACATTATTTGTCCAATAATAATTGAAATTCGTGTTTTCTGTTTTTTTGTTTACTCAACCATGCAACACCTCAAACCGTGCGAGATATTAAAAAATAGCCAAACGTGTTAAATCGATCTTTAATGCTTTTGACAAAGTAGAGGGCACTTAAAAATATATTTCTTTTAATTTTTGAACTATTCTTTGCTAAGAAGGCTTTTTTTTTCATCTGGCAGTTATGAAGCTGTTGGCGGCTCTGATGTCTCACGTAGTTGGCTTGTCTCTCGCGGGCGTAGACATCCAACTACCCGACTGTACCAGGCGCGAACAACTTTGTACGTATTTAAAACCCTGAAGAAAGAAACCCTCTTTATGGTAATTATTTTTTGATAAAAATCAGTTTTTTTATAGTAAGGTCGCGTAATTTTTACGTGCGTACGTACGTAAATTTTGCGCATGTAAATGAAACAGTGTCTTGCGTAAATTTAAAAGCTGGGCGAGGTTCAACCACCGGTCCTTACTGTGGTATACCAGCTGGTATCTCAAATGTGAACGTCATCGTTAACTTACTACATACAGTCGACTTCCGATAAGTCGAACCCTCGGCTAACTCGAACCTCGCGCTTACTCGAACCAAAATCGATTTCCCTTGGATTTCCTTCGTAAGGTGCGGTTACACAGGACACTTTTACCGTTATAAATGACCCTTTTTCCGCGGTAAATTGGCGTGGTGCGTGTGACCAGACTTTCCCGAGATAAATTTACCATAGGAAATATCCATGGTTACCTCAAAAAGAAGAAAGAACCCGCCAATGACACTAGTAACGTGGTAAATAGACGGGGTTTTTCGATACCCAAGGCAAGAAAGCTAATCAAGTTTCTTTATTTGACAACAGCATGAAACCTCCAAAAAATTTCCTTTTTTAATGATTTTCTTTCGTGCTGTTCAGACAAATTAAAAATCGATTGAACTGGTTTGTTGGGTTGGATTAAGGAACGATATTTCCCAAAAATATGTTCCATTCCTGGCATGTAATCGAACAATGGGATGCAGCTCTGCTGAACTGTAAAATGGATTCTAAGACCTCCCTCTAACTCGGAGTAATTTTTTGTTTCCCTTCAGATCATTTCTACGCAATTTTACCCTCGATAACTCGAAACATGTTTTAAGCGCTTGACAAGTCGAAAGAAACGCAGTGAACTGCAGTCCAAAACATTGAACTTCTTGCAAAACAACCGTGTATTTTTTGTCTTTAAGCTTCTTTAATTTTTTTGTGAGTCTAATTCAAATACAATGTTTAGCGCTGCACTGATTTATGGAGCTTTGTTGCTTAATTTCCTTTTTCAAAATATCAGTATATCTCTTGCTGCCCTTGAAGTGAAGTGCGAATGATACATGCATTCCTCCTCCATCTCATTTCCTTACTTATGGTTATTTACTTCGAATTCTCAATAACTCGAACTTTTTTCGATTAGCTTGAAGGTTCGAGTTATCGGGAGTCAACTTAGCCTGCGAACAGCAGACGCATTTTCGGTCGTCGCAGGCTAGAGTCAACTGTACATTAGTGGTTTCTTATCTCCGATAAACAGAATGGGGAGGACAAAAATAGTTATGGGGTTGGGGGGGGTAGTGAATTAGGGTCTGAGACTGTATTGCGAACGTTTTGAAAAACATGGATATTTCTCAAATTTTGAAGTTTCCCTAGGTTAAGAACAAAAAATTACCCAGCCAACAACGTTATAAAAGACACCTGATGCAAGGCATAAATTGAATTTGTTTATCTCCTTCTATAGAGAGGAGAAGTGTGACGTCACGTTACCATAGTAGCAAATTTCTGATCTTAACAATCTTTCTTGACAGAGATGGCTATTCGCATTGTCGAACGATGGAAGAAAAGCATGGGCTAACGTTTTGTTCCTGAGTGCAATCATGCACAGGAACAAAGTCATACATGTTAATTTTTCTAAACAGCAAGTCTGTCGTAACGATGACACATAATGGCAACTGTTGTGAAGATTTCTTGTAGTTTGGGCATTTTCAAGAGCTCTTTTTGTCTCCGTTTTCCCATTTTTTGTCTTTGTAAATAGCTCCTGCTAAACTATTTTGGAGGCTTTCACTTGCTTTACTCCGAAATTGTTTCACAACCGCGCGCCATGTTGAACAAAACAAAGAGAACAAGTTTCCAGTGACGTCATCCAAGTATGTGTTTAACAAATAGATTCCATGTTACCTTTACCCTGCGAGCAGAAGCTACATTTTCGCTGTGTGATAAGCTGTCGTGCGAAAAGTAGCCTCGATCTGCCGACAACCGTTCAAATCTGTCCAGAAATCTGGAGGAATAAATTTAAAAAAACGGGTTTTTCCTGTTCTAGACCATGTTGACCGGTTTAGAGCATTGCTTGAGTTGCGCGTAGCAGATCAGAGATGTCGCAATTTTTTCTATTCCCGCGAAACTCGCGCCATTTGATGACTGCGAATGGCGTGCTAATTTTGGCGCATGCACGATAGAAAATTGAGCGGCTGTCGGCAGAGGCTACTTTCCCACGATAGCTCACACAGTGAAAATATAGCCTCTGCTCGCAGGGTATGTTGCCGTGGGTCTGTTCAGTAATGGATCACAGACGACTCAAAATGTGGTAAAAACAATGTGTCACTGATGTTTTTACCACATTTTGACGTCCTCTGTGATCTATTACTGAACAGACCCACGGCAACATGGAATCTATTTGTTTTATGCGATGATCAGAAAAGAAAAAGACCGATACACATACCTGCCTCGTACCGAATGACTGTTCGAGGATTTGTGCTATTTCGCATTATTTAAGTCCCAAGCGCTACTTTTCGTCTCTGCTTCTTCTTTTTTTCTTTCTCTTAATTGTATACAGTTTCTTCGAAAAGTTTTTCAGCGTCTTTTCTTGCTCAAAGCAGAATAATGGCGAAAACATTTGCAAAACGGCGAGTCTCTCATAGCGATGAAACACGATGGCAGCTGTTGTGAAGATTTCTCGTAGTTTAGGCATTCTAAAGTAGTCAAGAGGTTTTTTTTGTCCCCTTTTCTTCATTTTTTTTTCTATTATAATTACCTCGTGTTGAACTTTTTTCGAGTATTTCACTTGCTTTAATCCGAAATAATCCTACAAACATTTTCAAAACCGCGCGCCATGTTGAACAAAACAAAGAAAACAAGTTTCGCGTGACGTCATCCATGTATCTGTACTCTGATAGATCATGGGCAACGACCAATCACAACGCGCCTAGCATTCACGTCGTTGTAGAAAATTGTATTGTATTTACAGATTTTCAACTAAAATTATATCCTTTTCAAAATCTCAGCCTGGGGTTTATTCTTAAAATTTCATAAATTTTAGCCTCGATATTCTTATAAAATATATTCTTATATAATAGTGTGATGATTTTCAAACACAACAAACAGTCAGGGTAAAGAAGATGGATGCTGGCGGAACTGTTAAGATTGTCATCAGTGGCAATTTGTAAAGGAAATCAATTTGTAATCTCTCTTTTGAGGAAAAAGAGGATACGCAAGCGCATGATCTGACCATGCGTATGCGTCGTCAAAACAAACACGATGTTATGTCCAAAATCAACAACGAGCTACAACTGATTGGCTCAAAATGCAAATTCTAATTACTCCTTAGCTTTTGTTAAAAAATTAATGATTTCTGTCCCTGAACTTATCAGTAATGTTACACAATGCCCAACTTCCACGTGAGACTATCAAAGGTATCATTTGTTTCCTACTGCGCTAGTCGACAAAAAAATGCAAATTTCGGTGCTATAGAAATACTTTTCTCAAACGATTTGTACAATTTTTTTTCCATTTATTTATTTATTTTTCATATTTTTGCTTGTATTTCGACAACATTTGTTGCTCTACCAATGGAATTCTGTTATAATACTTAAAACAATGCATTTTTCATTTTGTTGTTTGCAAATTCAATCAATGTAATCGCTTGTGGTTACCAACAACACCATAAAGTTCCATCGTCTGTTCCTTGAACTGAATTCCTGTATCTCGTTTCTTGTCTCATTTTTTGTGTTTAGCGTTTACTTATCACAACGTTGTTCTGTTGCTCGTCAGTCAGAGGGACTTTCCTGCTCAAAATCGTTCACAGACAACAACTTAAACTGGCCGGTCACCAAAAAAATGATACCGCAAAATAATTACTTGAGGTCCTTTACGCGAGCTGCCATTTCCCCAGTATGTCTCAACTCGCTTCTTCGTCATACATGTACATTATTCACAATAATGCATCAGCCAAGCTAATTTGTGTAAACCTGACGTTCGCACATTTAATAGCAGGTTGTTCTCCGAAGACGAAGCCAGACGTAATCGTAATAACATCTTCCTCATACTAGTCTGTTTGTTTAGCTCTAAAACTATCCTGAAATCTTCGCTATTCGTGGTCTATTTTCTTAGCTTTTACTCTCTCCTTTCACGAAGGCGTTCATAGTAACCAGTTGATAATCGTTTTCTCGCCATCTTTTCTAAAAGGAGAAGCGTTTTCGCTCCATTTCTTCATTGGGACTTTGATATTTTCTTTACTTTGTCATCTGTGCTCCACCCTGGTCTGCGTTGCTTTATTATTTTTCAGTTCGATTGCTGTTGATCATTGCTCGGGTTACACCCAGTCGTCTTTCTCGTCCTTAAGTCTTTCTCTTATCATGTAGAGCTGCAGCAGATCATCCCATTTCCGTGAGCGATCATCGGATAAGCTGCTTCCCACGGATAAATCGTTCAGTTGTCTCGTTATGAACTGAAGCCCTCGCATAACCATCACCGTGCTAATTTGCCCCGCGCTTCGCGTCAATGAATTCGCGGTTTCCTGTTTTTTCTTTCTCCTGAACTTTGGGCTGCCGTAGTATTCTGAAAACGGAGGTAATACTGGGTTGCTTTGCGTAGGTACAAAGTAAATTATCTCCACAAGATCCTGGGACCAGTGTACTCGTTTATGTTTTTTAAATGGTGGCGAAGAAACATCATCATTTCCCGTTAAAATCACAAATTCGTCGCCTGAAAGAATGTCAAATTCGTCCGGTGCTTGTAGCAATGCCATAAAGGTAATTTAAGATAGATATTTTTGTCGTAAAACCGGTAGATTTTACATGCGTTTTTGCCTAGTTTGTTCCAGCGCGTCTCCAATAATGAACTTGTCGAAAACGTTCGTGTGTTTTGCCTACTGTCACTCAGTTTCCAAAAATTACACAATAGCTGATCGCCGCCCACTCTGCCAGCTTGTATATCTAGAAGAATGTGTTGCCTTGAATAATTGATATCGGCTAACAAAAAAAATAATACATTTTATTAACGTAACAAATTTCATAGTTTGTCCCCAACATGTGAGTGAACACAAGACTTACGTCATCAATTTAGCACCTTCAAGTTCAACTAGGCACTAACCCCCTTTTATTTGTGTATCACTCAGTTGTTATCTCGGAATAGCTGAAATTTTGCTAAAGTTTCAAAAATGTGTAAATTAGTTCAAGGAAAAATACGACCCTGTGTTTCCCATTTTTTAGCTAACCATAAAGATAACATCTTTTTATTTTTATCGGTGTTTTTTATAGTATGGTTTGACTTGATTAGCGCTGTAATTATTTATTACCAAGATATATTTAGCAATTACTTTTTTAGAATCGGAGATGCATAATTAGATTGCGGGAAACAAAATAACCCAAACTAATTCAAAATTTACCGATTTACCTTTAACGGACGCTCGTTAGCAAACAGATTTCTGCACAAGAAATGCAATGCGGGGGAGAAGTGTGATCAGTCTCATTCTCTTAATGATCCAAGGCAGGAGCCTTTCCAAGGGCATCATACGTTAGCACGTGACTTACTTTTAACATCTGCGAGCTCATTGACCACTAGCCGTTGTATGTAAGATAGCACATCATTTTTCTTTCATTAATTGCGCTCTGTAGACCGTGTCTTTACTTGTCAAATGAAGTATCAGATAGTACTTCATGATAAAATTACGCATGTCCAATACACCTGAACAGCGGGGTAATCCTGCTCTTGACCTGAGCTAGCGGCTCCGTCCACTCCTATCCGTTTTTATTTCAAAACGGCCGGAAATTTTATCCCCGTTTTCAAACATATCCACGTCTTCACGTTGCTTTTTAATCTTTTTTACCAGTCACACGAAAACGTAATAGTACTGAAACGGTGCCGTCTTTGATGGGAGCATGCGCATTTACTTGTATCTGAGCCTTATCTCGTGCGCGGGATAGACTGCATTCAACACCGTGACGCGTAATCGTTTTCAAAAACCTCCTTCTTCACCCATCCAAAAAGCACGAGAACTGCAAAACGGCGTTTTCAAAAATCTCCACTCTGGAGAGCTTTTTTGAAAAGACACGTTTTCGGTGGCCGTGTTGACCGGATAAATGTGGACGGTAGGCCAAACCGGAGAAACTGCCGACCTACCCCTCCCCTAATCCAACATTTTTCCCCAAATGAGAAGTAAGTGTTAATGTTAGCTTATGGAAGGGGTAGGTTGCAGTTTCCAGAAACTCTCGTTTTTCAAACAAAAACGGGTAGTGTGGATGGGATCCTAGTGGCTGAAAGTTTATCAAAACCAAAATGGCTTAACTCACCAATTGTCACGTTTGACAAGAGAGTCAATAATACAGTACAATAGTAAATCAACAATGGTTTGCCACAGCATCAAGAATCACCCCTTTGAAAAAAATTGGTATCTGACTGCAGGCTCATTTGTATTTATTTTTTTCGATGTTAAGAGCCAAAAAGATAACACGATCCTTCCTGTTATGTTCTATAAGAGAAACTTGGGGATGAATCGACTGGGGTTCACCAATCGTGGTGCGCGCATTTGGTAGAGCATGTCATAAGAAAATATTAATATTTATAATGAGAATAATAATAACAATAATAAACTACAAACAACATGTAAACGCCAGAGAGACACAACGGAAACATTATTGTCTTTTTTTTTTTGCCAATTTACAAAAAATATTTTTGTTGTATATATATGCAAGCCACTCTGTGCAAGCTAGAGTGACTAGTTATGGGCTCGGATCTCCGCTGGGAATCTGATTTGTCCTTAGGTCTGTGCTTAGACTCTTGTATTTATGATAATTCATATACACTTACTGTCCTGCGCAGTAGCTTAAATGCTTTAACATCGCAATTTCTGTTAAGGTGGTTTCGTCGAACTGGATGGCATATTCTTACCAAGTATAAATTCTTGCTTGTTTGGCGCGCGCAGGAGCGCACATACCTATGATTGTTCTTCAAAACATGGTCGATTCCTCATTGTTTATACTACCTTAATTGAAGAAAGTAATCTGTTCGATGAATCCCAACTTGAGAACCTTTTACAAAGTCAATTTTTATTTAATGACATGGAATGAATCTATCGCTACAATCTGCTGGAAGACGTTCCGTGCAGATGCTTTGCCCTATTGCTTGTTTTCAACCCCCTGACAAGGTGGGCATGTTGGTGGAAAAAAATTATATTTGTTTTTTTATTATTTTTTTTTTTTAACAGAACGTGCATGAAAAAGCGAAGGGAACTTTCCGCCTTTGGTCTTGATCATCAGCATGGCCGCAGTGACGTCAGCTGAAAACCAGCAATTACTCCATCACTAGAGAGCTTTAGATTCAAGGACGAGAACGACCACGAGAAAGACATTTTATTTTAAGTTTTCTCGCTTATTCTCTAGAATAAACATCCCGGAAAGCTTCACCGTGCTTTTTTCACCACAAAAGTTAGTTCGTTAGTTCTTTCCGTCGAAGGAGGTAAAAGCCCTTTCCCGATCGCTATATAATAAAATTTCTAACATTTGATAACTTGTTTTCGCTATTACGACATTCTTGCTAAAACTCGTAGAGGTGGTTATCACATTTTCCCGCCAAAATGACGTTGTTTCGCGCTTGTACTAATTAGTATTGGGAAAATCTCGTTCTCGTAGCCGTCCTCGTCGTAGAATCTAAAGCGCTCTACTATTAAATTTTGTTAGACGTATTATACCCAAGTGCGATGCTAGTTGTTCATTTACAGTATAAAGTGCCTATGGCTTGGGATAGGTAAAGAATGATGGTTAGATAATACATGGTGATCGCTAATATTTTATGTGGTACTGGATGTAATGAACACTCACTTTAGAATCGCCTGAATAATACATGTACTTTATACCATGTACTTTGTACCATGTATTTGCCTGTTGAGGTTGAGTCAATCACATGTACATTTTAATATTTATTTCCTAAAATTATGTACTCTAAAAACACGAACTACTACGCAAAACTCCTTTTTTTAAAATTACGAGTAAGCACTTTTGAGAGGTCGTTAAATGGTAGGAAAAGAGTTGAATCAAATCTGTGCACGTTTAACTAGTTTCAATGCAAGTATGAATTATTCAACAGTGATTAACAGAACTGGACTGAGATACAAAGCAAAAAATATTCAGTAAACTACAGGCAGTCAACTCTCTCTTAAAAGACAGCTCTATAAGACGGACACCTAGAGTTGGTCCCTGCGTTAGTCCTTACTCCCATTATTTGACTCTCTATAATACGGACATATCGGCTCTTAGAAATACACTTAATAATGGTCCCAAATGTGTCCTTCTTAGCGAGAGTTAGCTGTATCACAAATAGCATAGTCGATGACGGTGACAGCATCGTTAAATGAATTAAATTTTAATATACAGCCTGCTAATTCTAATGCTAATTGTATAACCTGCCGCAATGGCGTACTAGCCAGCGTCTTTATGACTTTAAAATTTTAACATTTTTTTAAACTTCCCCTTATTCTTTTTAAATGTGGTCTTTTTCTCGTTCCAGCTAATGCCGTCAAAGAAAGACTTTCTGTCATCCTTCTGTGAAACGCTTTTTCGATCGTATCATCGAAACAGGAACCCCACCCTCAGTGCGTCACACCCAGTCTTCTCCAAAGCACTCACTTTCTTGCTTAACTGCAAGGACGTTTTGCAAAGCAAGTCTCTCGCGTTTTTCGATTGAGATACTGTGCACATGTTCTTGGCTTAGCGGCATGTTTTCTAGTTTCCACTGTGGTTGAAAAGTTTTATGATTCACTGTTGTCCTTGTCCTTTCGTTGTTGATTTTCGTTTGTTTTTTCAAGGCAAAATTGTCCTCAACTTTCGTAACAGATGCATCTTCTGAAGCAAAGTTGTCAGGCTCAGGGTTGTAAAAGTGGATATCTTCAAGTTGTTCGGACCAATGAACGCTTTTTTTCGATTTTTTCGATTTGGTCGATTTGCCCCACTTAAGCTTTGTTAAGCTGAAGTTTTTCATCATTGCATGCATACGATTTCCGCGGAATACTATATACTGTAGTTTTTAGAAGTAAAATCCTTTTCAGATTGTTGATGTTAACTTTGTTGCAAGTAATACATTGTGGTAATTTTGGGAGATATCAAGCATTTATTGAAGTCAAGAGACTGTTATAATTAAAGCGCGTGCAAGAACGGTATTCTAGAAGCGTTATTTTAAGTGATTCGTGTGTGAATATCAGTGTGGAAAGTAATTTGCACGAAATGCGCGACAAATGGGAAAACTGATCTCGTGATCGTGACAACGTGTTAAACCTCACGAATGTTTTTGAATTGAGATAGTTTTTTCATACTACACACAAGTCAAAACATTGTGTAGTTGGGTTAATGTTTACTAAACAGTTTATTTTTCAGTCTCTGTTTTTTTTTTGTAAATATTAAAAAGGAAATACATTTACTTTAAGTATGTTAAAAAAAAAACAATGGAAGAAGCACCTTTCTTTCGGAGTTCAGTAGTTGGCCATTTTTTGGCTTTTATTAATTTATTCTTTTTTATGTATCCTTGTTTAGTTTTACAGTTTTTCTTTCGCAAGTTTGATAAATCTTTCGTAAACAGATCAATCACGACTTTCATGATTGCCACTGTAAAATCTATTTTAGCTGATGTCAAATGGGAAATTTGATTGGCTGAGATAAGATCATATTAAGCACTGTAAAATGTAACTTTGTATCGAAGTCTTTTCTTATAGGTTCTTCAAGACTTTAATATGCTAATGATGGGGGGAAGAAGTATACGAATCTGCAATTCACGTTTCCTGAGTATTCCTGAATGTTCGATGTCTTGTTGCGTGTATTATTGTTTGTGAATAAGATTACTCGAGTAACGCAGCAATGCTTCTGGTAAGTTATAGAAAGATAACT